TTTCGAACTTTTAAATACAAAACAGTTCCGGCCTATAATGTTTCTAAAATCACAAAAATACCGAATATTGGGAAGTACCGTTATATGGGGGCTATACGAAGATCTTCTACTACGAAATTAAAAAAAATCGGGTAAATAACGTCGCTAAAATCATTTAAATATCGAATTTTGGGAGGTACCACCATATGTTGGCTTTTACGAAGTCATGGACCTGCATAAGCAATTTTCCGTCTTAGGTTGTAGACTAAATTACAAACTTCAAATGCGAAACTTAAAACAATTCCGTTAAAAATGTCGCTAACATCATCAAAATAACGAATATCGGAAGGTATCGTTATGTGGGGTCTACACGGAAACGTGGACCAACATGGCTCATTTACGAACTTATCCTGCCTACTGACAATATACACTTGGATGAAAATTGTAGCCTTCTATCTCAATTCGTTCGAAAGATGGGGTAATTACAAGAGACGGACATCGTTAAATCGACTTAGAATTTTACACTGATCAAGAATATATGTATATACTTTATTGGGTCTCACATTATTAGTATTTCGAGGATTTACGGAAGGAATGACAAAGTTAATATACCCTCCATAAATTTTCAAGGAACATACAAGTCATCAAATTTTGTATATCTTCACAGGTTTTTTTTTTTTAAATACAGCTTTCCTTCTAAGAATATAAAATATCGCTGTAACTAAAATTAAGTGTTTGTTAACCACATCGTTGGTAGCGGTAAAGTCTCCTCTCCTTGCTATTTTTGAGATAATTGTCATTTAACTCCATGGGGAAATCCCAAAATTTACCGTTACCAGTTTACATACCTGTTGTGCATACATTAGCCATAACGTTTTTCAAAGAAAATTTGAAATAAAACAAAAATACCTACAATGGAAAAGTTTTAACTGACACGTTAAAAAAACAAGCATTGCAACAGGTGCTCTCTTCCAAGCAGTCAGCTCTTCAACCAAACAAAAATTTCATTTTTATTTTAAGACGAAATTAAGATGAAATGTCTGTCCATCCATCCACCAGCGACAATATCTACGGCGGACTAAAAACCAAAACAAACATTGACGTTTTAGAAAAAAAAAACAACATCAAGTTGATACATGGATCGAACGACAGACAGACAGACATACAGTCGGAGAAACATAAACAAAAACAAAATTTCATTTTCATAGATAAAGTTAAAATTGTAATAATTATTATTAACATCGTCATCATCATTGATGATGATGATCATTTTACATACCACCACTACTACCCACCGAGTTACATGCAGAGATAACCCACTCGCTCTCTCTCTCTCTCTTAGCTTAGCATCAAAAACAAACGATTTGTTTTTATTTGCTGGCTTCTGCAGCAGCAGCGACAGCAGCATTAGAAATTAAAAATAAAAATATAAAAATTAATGCTTGATATGATTTTAATGAATCTACAGTTAGATGAGGGAATCCAATCCGTTGGAGCTTGAATGTGATGACGCCAACGTTTGAACCAATACAAATAAACGACTACACAGTAATGAGAGAGAGAGAGAGAGAGAGAGTTTAGGATAGGAGAACCATTTCTTTGTAATACAATTTACATCAAAGCTTTTGTAGCAAAAACCAAATGCTCTTGCATTAAGCTAAGCGGAAAGATAGTGCCATATCCCAGGAAAAAATGGCCGTAAAGGTTTTACGAAAATTTTAGGTCTTCGAAGTACATTTTTTTTTTGGAATTGATAATTGAATAACAAAGCGGTAATAATTCAGTATGTACTATAATGGGTACTTTGGGTGGATGCAAGATCGGTCTCTCCCAAGATCAACGTTAGGACAGATTTGAGCGCTAACATTTTAAGTATTTATAGTTTTGCTCGGGTGTTTGTATTAACGGAGGTAATCGGTATCGGCTCGAAAGTATTCTATTTATTGTCGGCTCAGGGATAGTCGTGTGAATTGCTCTTTACTCGAAAGTGCTCGAATTTTTTTTTCTAGGAGGAAATCGCCTAATTTTCACATTTTTACAAATTATTTGGATTCTTTTTGGGATAGATGTTGTTTAGTGGCAGAAAGCTGGGAGCATGGAGATTGTTAATAACGATCCAAGTGTAGAAAAAAAATTTCAGAGCATGGTGAGTTCATAGAGCTAACTAAGCGCTGTTAAAATATGACTAAGTAGTTCCAATACGTTTCAGTAGTTCAAGTCAGACGTGACCTAAGTCATATGCCTACCGAGGGTGTATATCATTTGAAACACGTCATCGTAATAACAGTTTTAGAGCCTAGATCTCTTTGGACGAAATAAGTTTCAGGACATTTGGAGTCTACCTAGCGATGTCCGTCCGTCTGTTTGGCTGGCTGGTGCGTCAGATAACTCTCGAAGGGAGCATCCGATTTGATCCAAACTTGATAAATAGTTATATTATTGTCAAACTTAGATCGAGTTCGGATATGGGCAATATCGGTGCACTCCTTCTGGTACCTCACCTTCAAAACGTAAATTTTTTCAAAGAAAATAATTTACTGCACACAAAGAGAAGCATAATTCCATGTGGTTCCAACTTTGCATATCCTAATATTTGCATCAGTGCTAGGTCAGATGCGAAAATGGACAATTTCGGTCCAATCCGTCAAGTAACTCTTTCACAAACGGTCAATATTTTGAATAATTATAACTCTTATAAAATGTTATGTTAGCGTCCGATTGTCTTTAAATTACACACATCACAATATTTTTATTAATCCAAAGTCTGATGTGGAGATGGAATATATCGGTGCACTCCTTCTGGTACCTCCCCCCCAAAAAGGGTCAAAATTTTGAATATTCATGAAGCTCATACAACACCAAATTTACATCCGATTCCATTCAATCTTGGCACGTCTCAATATTTCCATCAACAAAAGATCTGTTATAAAGATGGTAGAGATCGGACCATTCCTTCTGATACCCCCCCCCCCCCCCCCCCCCCACACACACACAAAGGTTTACATTTTGAATAGCCAAAACGATCACAAAATCCGAAATAAGCATCCGGTTTTCTTCAAATTACACCTCCCCCACAAATGGGGGAGCTTCATAGATGCTCAAAATGTTGAGTATCTACGAAGCTCATAAAACACAAATTAACATCCGATTCCATTCAGACTTGGCACATCTCATATTTCCATCAACACAAGATATGTTATAATAAGTTAAAAAGCACTGCTCGGCTGGGCCGTACTTTGAATACTCTCCACCATTTGCAAAATTTTTTTTTTCAAAAAATAAAATCCGTTAAAAATTCTCTTCAAATCTTAAAAATACCGAATATATTATTATACCCTACACCACAAAGTGGTCAGGGTATTATGTCTTTGTGCATTTGTTTGTAACAGGCAAAAGGAAACGAGATAGACCCATAGTTACCATAGAATCTCTTTCTGAGTCGATTTATGCATGTCCGTCTGTCGGTCCATGTATTTTTGTAAAAAAAGTACAGGTCGCATTTATTACCCGATCCAGATGAAATTTTGCAAAAATCATTTGTATGGCCCAAGGACGAACCCTATTGAAATTGGAGATAATCAGTAAAAATTTAGATATAGCTCCCATACATATCTTCGTCCGATTTGCCTTTTATTGTGGACCAAACGTGTAGTATCAGCCCGAATAGTATGCAATTTTGCAAATACAACCAAATTAGGCCTGAAAATAAGTATGCCAAATTTTATCGAAATCGGCTCAGATATAGCTATAGCTCCCACATATATTGTTCATCCGATTTGTTATTTTTGTTCTCCGCAGTCGTAATATGCACTCTGTTACAACAATATTTGGGGAAATATATCAAATACAGCCCAGAAATACATTTGATAAATTTTATCGAGATCGGTTCGGATTTGGATATATCTCCCATATATAACTTCGTCCGATTTACTTCTTATTGTGCACCAAACATCTAATATTTGCCCAAATGGGATGAAATTTGGCTCTTACGACCAAATTGAGTCTAGAAGCTAGTATGTCAAGTTTGGTGAAGATCGGTTCAGATATAGCTATAGCTCCCATATGTATTGTTCATCCGATTTGTTGTATTTGTTACCCACAGCCGTAATATGCACTCCGTAACAACGATATTCAGGGAAATATATGAAATACAGCTCAGAAATATCTTTGCCAAATTTTATAGAGATCGGTTCAGATTTGGATATAGCTCCCATATATATCAAATTGCAATACAAGTCCGAATTTAAAAGATACGAATCCTTCGTCATATTTATTCTTTTGTACTTTAAATTATAATTATAGCGTGTATGATTGAATTCTCCCATAAAAACTTCTAATTGTTATGTGAAGCTCTACTAAATTAGCAAAGTGGTGTAGGGTATCATAAAGTCGGCCCTGCTCGACTTTAGGACTTCCTTTACTGGTTTTATCTGTATTAGATGAAGTATGAAAATGAAAAACTTCGGTCTGTTATATCTGTTACCTCACACGTATTTCCAGAGTTCAAAAGACGAATGGTACCATTTTACTTTTTTTTTTATAAAATCCCAAATTATTATCCAGTTCTATTCAAACTTTAATGTTTGGATATGTAGGTCCAATCGATTTTAGATTTTTGTCCTGAATCGTAACACTGTAACTGCAATGATCATACAACAACATATTTATTAGAAGTTTTTTTTTCCAAATTTTCTCTAAATCATTATTATGATGATCTTTTCGTCAGACCGCGAGAGAGAGAGGGAGGGAGATAGTGAGAGAGAGAGTAAATATGTGAAAGTTTTTCCCCCGCAAACAAGTGCTTATTTCCAATATGTTTGTAAACAAAAAAGCTTTGGCGAGAGAAATATTCTCTCTTGGGGTTTGTGTGTGTGTAAGTGCATTTGCTTGGCGATCAATTCAATTGGTCATACCCACACACACCAGTAACCACGTCGTGGATTCCATGGACGAGCGAGTGAGTGGCTGTATGAATGCAAAGGGGGTTTGTTGTGGGCCTGCCTGCACACCACCAACCAGCCAGCCAGCCAGCTAGCGTTTGTTTGTGTGGCTGTATCTTGGGTTCGCTGGTTTGTTGTTCATTTGGTTGGCGATGGTTTGACGATCAGTTTTACGTAAAAATTTCACTGAAACGGTTTGCTTTCGTCAAGACAACGGATCGACAGAAGATATTTGTGGAAGAATAAAAATAAATAAATAAAAAAACGACAGTTTGTGTTTTTTTTTTTTCTCTCAGTTTCTTTTGCTGTTCATTATATTTTTGTTCGAGGAACGTATCTCCAATAAATTTTCAATTGCTGTGGAATTTTTGTTAGTTTGGTGTTATTTTGTGAAACGCAAAGAAAAAGAAGAAGAAACAACCAACATCACGCAACGAAATTCCAAAATAAACTATAAATAATCAATAAACTTTGAAATTAAAATTAACAACAAAAGCAAAAACAATTGGAGCAAAATACAAAAACAACAAAAAAAACAAACGTTGAGAAGAGAAAACAATTGAAAAATCTTGCGATTCCATTTTTAAGCCGGAAATTTTTTCTCAACCGCATTTGTAACACAATTTGTTGTTGCGCCTATCTATCACCCACAAGCCAGACCAACTCAAAAACAGCATCATGTCCCATCAATGCAGTTGCGGTCGCGATCTTAACAACAACTATGTGGGCTATACCAGTGCCTATGCCAACGCCAACACTGGCCTGGATAGGGATGCAAATTCCAGCACCAAATCATCGTCGGGAGCCCAAACCCAGTTCACTGCCAAACTCTTGGTTGGCACAGTGGGCGCCATCAAGGAGCTGCGAGAAAAAGAGAAATCACGTCATTCCATGGCACGTGCAGCCGATCGTCGAAATTAGAAGAAGAATAAAAAAAACAGCAGCAGCAGGAAGAGAGAACGCCAGACTCCATTCAAATCCGGAAAATGAAATTGTAATGAGGTATTGAAAAGTGAGGAGGATGATGGTGGGCGGTCATGCTGTGTGTAGAGCTTAGAATTAGATTCTTGGGTGGGTTCTTTTGTTTAGTTGCGAGCGGAAAAATTGTGATTAGAGAAAATCTAGAGAAGAAGAGAAATTTCCCCCCCAACAAAAAAGGAAATTATTTCTTTTGTAATATTTTTTTTAGTTATTTAGAGTTAAATATATTTTTTTTTTTTTGTTAATTTTGTAAGCTAAGTCTAACAAACAAAACCAACAACAAAAAACGAGAGTCTATTTAGTACCGTTTGAGCATTTTTTCAAATTCTTGGCTTTCCCTGGGCTTTTTGTAAAAAGGTCTGGCCGGAGGATTTGAAAAAAATGCATATTTTTTTAGTTTAATTAAACGAATTTCTTTTGTTTTCCCCTTAATCTTTTCCTTATAGATACGTTTATGTAGTTTCCTGCTTTGTTAAGTTATTTTGTAATTTATTTTGTTGTGTATATTTTTATGTTGTAATTGCATTTCTCTTTTTTAATTTTTAATTTACATTTTAACTTATTTTGGAAATTTCCTTTAATTTCGTTTTGGGCTTACAAGAATTTTTTGGCTTCCGTTTCCTCTTGTAAACGTTAAAGAAGCTATTAAATCAAAATTGGTATGTGGGTAGTAAAACTTTAGTAGAATGTAAAGAAAAAAATTAATTTAAGAATATTTCAAATTTGAGAGATTGTTGCTGGTCGGTATGTAAAGTGATATGAAAATATTTAAATGCAAAGAAATATAAATCTTCAATATCCAATTTTATTTTTTTATTTTTACTCTGAACATTTGAAAAATTAAATTCAACTAATTTAAAGCAAAAGAGCATAATATAAAGAAGTATATAATGTAAAATGCATATAGAACCCATGACACAATAGAATGTGATTTTCAAAAAAATTATATTTATGTTGAAAAACAATAATTAATTTCTTAGTCATAAATATGGGAAATAAACAGTGAACAATAAAATAAATTTAAAAGACTGAAAAAATTTCAGTTTCAAATAACCAAATCCTGAGAACTATGTTTATCGGTACCAATTTTATTTTATTATAAGAGGCCTATTCGAATATATTGTGGGTTTAGTTTCGGCCATTTTTTTTATTCATAAAAATTCATGCCCTGCACCATTATATTTATTAAAATAAAATGAAATAATGAAAGTCGTGTAATATGATAACCTAAATTATCAATCCGTTTTAAATAAGATCAAACATTACCTAAATAGTGGCAGAAAAAATTATGATAGAAACCCCAAAAAATCGGGAGACACCGCTATATAGGGGTAATATGAATTAGAAGACCTTTAGCCCCCAAACGTCAAGTTTTAGCTGATTTGAAGTTTAGTAAACCTAGGAGAGAAAAGAGACCTACCAAGAACCACAGTTGTCATGTTTTATCTAATTTGGTTGAAATTTGTGGCAGAACCTTAAAAATATCGAAAATCGGGAGTTACCGTGGCCATACAATTAATGGGTCTGAATCTAATATTTTTTGTAGTTAGTTTGGTTATAAATTATAACAGAAACCTTAAAAAGAACCAAAAAAAACGGGGATGTATCGTTATATGGAGGCCATACCAATTAGTGGGCCTGTAGCGAATATATTTTGCATGAAGAGAACAGATCTACCAAGAACTCCAAATGTCAAGTTGCATTTAATTTGGTTGATAATTGTGGCCGAAACGGAAAATCAACTATTGGCCCTACCAACTAGTGGTCCTGTGAGAATATTTTTTTGCAAGGAGAGAACGTACCTACCGAAAAACCTACCGAGAACAGATATTTCAAGACCCCCATTGGTCAAGATTCAGGTAATTTGATGGAATTTGTGGCAAAAACCCTCAAAAATGCAGAAACTCGGAGGATACTTTTATATGAGGGCCTCACCAATTTGTGGATCATTAGCGAATATTTTTATTCAAGGAGAGGACAGACGTACCGAGAATCCAAATTGTCAAGTTTCACCTGATTTTTAGCAATCATGGCAGAAACCTTCAAAATACCGAAATCAGGGTGTACCGTAATATGGGGGCTATGCCAATTAGTGGACCTGTAGCGAATATTTTTTGCAGCGAGAGAGAACAGACCTACCAGGAACCCCAAATGTTAAGTTTCAGCCAATGCTGTTTGTAATTTTAAAATGCCGAAAATCGGGAAGTTCATTTATATGGGGGTTAAAACTAAACGTGGGCCAATTTAGCTGATTTTCAATACCAATCAGCCGGCATAAAATGTAAATCTTTGTGTCAAATTCTCAAGGCTCTAGATTAACTAATGTGGACTCTATCGTGATTTCAACAGACAAACGAACATCGCTATTCTAATCAAGAATATATATTCTTTTTGTGACCTCCGAGAAATATTTCGGGGTGTTGCAAACGAGGTGACAAATTTAATATATCTTTCTTAGTATAGTGGAGGATACCAAAATAATAATAGAAATATATAATAGAATTCAAACGAGTAAAATGCAAAAATAGGTCTTTAAATTCCGAAATTACCGTATACTGTCATTAGGAACATACAATCTAAATTTTCAAACAATTCTGTAAAAAAGTTGACTTATGTTATCAAATTACCGAATATCTGGAGGATAGGGGGTTATAAAAAAAAACGTTAACTCATATAGAAAATGTGGTTAAAATCGTAAAAATACCGAATACGGAAAAGTACAATTTTATGGCCGCTATAGGAAAACGGGGACTTAAATGGAGAATGTTCTGCCACCGGAGAGGTAGAACATATTATTAACTCTAAATATCGAATTTTAAACTATGCAGTAAGTTCGGTCCGGCCGAATTCTGTCCACCATTTGGAAGTAATTTGTAAATTTTCAAAAAAAAAAATTCCGTTGCAAAATACTGCTAAAATCTAATAGAGTAACCATTATATTGGAGTCTATTCGAAGACCTAGACCTGCATATGCAATTTTCTGTCATGGGCTAAAGTGCCCAATACGAACTTACAATAACAAATTTAAAACAATTCCGAAATATAATGTCGCTAAGGCCATTAAAATACAGAATATATGGAGATACCGTTATGGGCGCTATACGAAGACGTTGCCCTGTATGAGCAAAAAAAATATATATATCTAAAGGTGTTAAATTGCACGATTTAGGCGTCCAATTCTGGCTTCCACAACGCGAAATAACACAATTGGAAAATGACTGAGGCATTTTTTTCTCTGACTGTACGACATATGCCGCCGTCTTGCAAAGTGGCCCTAGTTCGAGACCTCTAGATCATTTCTCGAATTGGTTTTTTATATTACAAAAACGTTTTGTAAAGAGCTATATCCTGGGAGTGGAGATCTGGAACTTAATCAGATCCGGGTAAATGGGAATGGAAATATCCTTTATTTAGATATTTTTTACCTTCCTTCCCCTAATATTCTCATTCAGTTGCTACACCTTGAAAAATTCATTTGAGATACCTTAAACAGCAGAGTTTTTGAAATATAACGGTATTGAGTTTGTGAAATCTAATCGATTTAGACCGCGTCCATTTATTATTTTTTTTTTAAATTTGCCGATTGGAAACTTTTTTCGAATTCCGCGTGAATACAGCTTTTGTACCGACAACTTTGTTATCCGAGTTTATGTATTTTTACGGACTTTGGCCTTTCTTGTTGGCTTTCTTTTTCGAGATTTCTAATTATTTTTTAAAAATTTAGAAAATCCAAATTCTTCTAAAAATCGCAGCGATTAAAAAAACGATTTCAGAGACCGCGTCCAAACATCTTTAAATTATGCCCACTTTAAAATGTTGGTATTCCATAGGAACCAACCACATTTTAAGACGAGAACACAATGGAATGTCACCTTAAGTTTCACTTCAAGTTAAGCCCAGACTTCAGACTTTTAGCCAGGCTTTCCAACAGAAACGGCAAAAAAATATCCATTCAATATCTCCTGAGTTTTTATTTTGTGTCCTATAGTTTTATAGTTTTATAACTTCGATAAAATTATGAAGTTTTGATATTCAAATTCTACACATGTTTAGCAAAATGATTTTTTTAAATCATTGAACCTATGGGGCCGATGGCATATTTCTAAGACGAAAAATCATAAAAAATTAATAGAATTATGTTTCAAAACCTCAAAAAAATTACAATCTGGCAACAAATCACGGCCTTATGCTGATTTGTCAAAAATGTCATATTTTCTTTTCGCCATTTCATATTATAATTATATAAATAATCTTATACTATTAATGGCGCCCAACAAATTTGTCCAACATATTTGTAAGAGGTATCTGATACCTCGTATATAATACGACTCTGAGAGGCTTAAATCTTAAATCGTATGAAAGTTATGAGATATGGGAGAGATATCTATATAGTCTTGGAGATTCGAAATAAATATGGCAAATGTTGTTCTCATCATAGCCAGCATCTAAAAGCGAAGTTTGGAAGGTCTACCTCGTCCCTGTAATTTTTTTTTTTGTCTCAAAACACGCCTTTGGTCCCTTAGTGGATTTTTTATTTATTTTTTCAAGCGTCTTGCGAATGTCGTAACATTTGAAATCTTAAGGCATATCGATTTTAGTAAAAATAAGACAATTTTTTGAGGGAAATTTTAAAATTTAAAATATATATATACAAAAACTTATCTACATTTTGAAAAAAAAATATTGAAAAAAAATATTTTCATATCACATTCCGTTCTTGAGACCAGAAACAATCTTCACATTTCAAAACTCCAATATATTTCTGAGTTTAATTTCGAATAAAAAAATAAAAATTATTATAAGTTTTATTTCTAAGTTTAAAAAGAATATTTAAGCAATTACTTTTTCTCTAGTAAAGTGCAATATTATATGACTATAAATTCAAAAAAAAAAAAAATAATAATAATATTTTATTATTAGAAAAATTAAAAATTCTTTAAAGTCTAATACCTATCAAATTATTTTTAGATGAAAAATCTTTTAGAAAAAAATCTTCACTCTAATCTTCTTCTCAATTCAAAAAAAAAAAAAAAAAATACAAATTGCTTACATTTTGTGTTGTTATTGTAAACAATGTCATTTGATACAATTGTTAATGTTGTTGTTTTTATTGTTTTCGTTTCTAAGCTAACAAACTGAAATTGAAACAAAGATTACATCATCCTGTTATCACAGAGCAAAGAAAGAATTTGAAGAGAATAACAACAGCAACAACAATTTATGTCTATCAATATTGGATTAAAAGAAACAGAAAACACACAAATTCAATAATTACAACAAATAATAATAAAAATTATTCATATATTTATTTAAATGTATGTACATATATACAAACCTTTACGAATGCATTACAAGACACATTTTGAAAAAAAAAAATAATAAAACCTCTGGCAAATTAAAAATTAATTTTATTATATTTCCATACATTCAAACTGGACTGATGAAAGAAAATGCCTTTAAAAAATACAGAAAAAACACACACATACATATATCCTTATTATAACAAATAAAATAAATTTGTTCATTTTTAATTTTTTTTAGTTTAATAACAATAGGTCTTACCGACAATACTCGATAACTACATTTTTTCTGATATAATATATATTTTTTCTATTTATTTCTCATGTTTTCTTCATTTATTCTTATCTTCTTCTACATTTTCGCCACATTTCATTGACTTCATGTAATTTGTAGCTTAAAA